CCGTGTCTCACCGTACACCTCCAGCTGGATCTGCCAGACTTTCTCCTCCGGCCCCTTGCTGACTATGTACTCGTAGAGCTGCCGGTCCTGCCGGCTGGTGTTCAAGATCTCCAGGGAGAAGTCCAGCTTGTGGAAGTGAGCTCGTCCCTGCATGTAGTTGGTGTAGTTGCCGTCTGAGTACTTGAGCAGGACGAGCTTCCTCTGCGCTCACCGTACACCTCCAGCTGGATCTGCCAGACTTTCTCCTCCGGCCCCTTGCTGACTATGTACTCGTAGAGCTGCCGGTCCTGCCGGCTGGTGTTCAAGATCTCCAGGGAGAAGTCCAGCTTGTGGAAGTGAGCTCGTCCCTGCATGTAGTTGGTGTAGTTGCCGTCTGAGTACTTGAGCAGGACGAGCTTCCTCTGCGGGTCCTCCGTGTCCCGCTTCCAAACAGCTTCCCCAAAGTGCAGGGTGAGGTCCCGGAGCTCAGGGGGGATCTGCAATATCGTCGCTTTCCCCAGGGTGCCCAGCACCGTCTCCCTCACCCCACGGCTCGTGCCTGCGAGAAGAGCAGAGAGAAGGACTGAGGCAGCCAGGGAGGCACAGAGGACTTGGAGCAACCGTGTGTCCCCCCCCATCCCGGCTCTGTCAGAAGAGGGCGGATGCCCGCAGAGCTGCGGTAGCCAGCGATGGCGTTGGACCCACCCTGGTAATCCGCAGAGCGGGGACAGTTTGTGTTGTGTGAGATAAATGGGTCGAAAATTGAACAAATTATCTAACTGCGTTTTCAAGCGCTGGATGCACCACCCGTCGCCGGCTGGTGGGAACACGAGTCACGCTGCACATCAGGGCGCAGTGTGAGCTCTGCCCTGTGCCCACCCCACAGGACCATCCCCCAGAACCAAAGGAGCGACCTCCAGCTCTCAGCCCCACATCCTCGACACCAAAAGATGCAAGTCGAGGGCTTGGCTCAGGAGGCGGAGGGGAAGAGTTGCCTTCCTCTGCTCTTCCTCCCAGGCTTCTTTTGCATCAGCCTCCACGTCCTCCTGCGTCAGGCACCGCTGTGCACAAGGGCCAAATCCTGACTGAAGGATTTCAATCAGGACTGGAGCTTTCTCAAAGCAGAGGCTTGGAGCTTTCTGCTGACACAATGACAGCCAACGCAGTGAAACGTCACCCCGTGGAGCAGGGCTCCCTCAAGCAGGGGAAGACACTTCTGGTCCCAGTCCAGTGGGGATGCTGGGACCAGCAGAAGGGTGCTGGCAGTGGTGAGACCAGTCAGGAGAAGTCCCTGTGACACCAGGGCAGTCCAGAGGGAAGCGATGCTGGTGGCTCTTGGCCAAAGCCTGCATCTGAGTGTGTGTCATGGCACCTGCCTCCCTTGAGCGCCACAGCTCCAGAAAACTTTGGTGGCACGTTTCTTACAGAAATCACTAGAAGTGCAGCCTCCTGGAGGTGGGCTCAGGTGTAAATCCCAGGTCGTCCTTCTCCTGGTTGAGGTGGTCCTGGGTGTGTTTCTTGGTGGTCATGGAAAAGTGCTCTTAAGAAGAGGGGCGCAAGCATCTCTCAAGTGTCCCAAAACTCCTCAACCCTCCGGATTTCCTGGAGACCACAGGGGAGGATCTTCTCCCCCAAACCCTTTCCTGTCCTCTGCTGCCAGGCAGTGATTCATATTTACCCTCACTCCTGGGCAAACAAGTTGTTTTTGTAGGAAACAGCGTGGGGAGAGGTGCCAGCTCACCCTTGCTGCCAGCTGTGGGAGGTTGGAAGGGACCCTACCATGTCATCCCCAGATTTCCTACCAACTTCTTTCCATCGAGGTGAGGATTTGCCCTGAAAGAGGAAAAAACGAGAAAAAGAGAAAAAGAGAAAAAGAGAAAAAGAGAAAAAGAGAAAAAGAGAAAAAGAGAAAAAGAGAAAAAGAGAAAAAGAGAAAAAGAGAAAAAGAGAAAAAGAGAAAAAGAGAAAAAGAGAGAAAAAGAGAGATAAAGAGATAAAAAGAGAGAAAACGAGAAAAAAAGAAAAAGAGGAGGAGCTGCCCCAGAAGAACAGGTGAGAAAAGCCCCACATCTGCCTCTCCTGCAGCACTTATCGTTCCAGTAAAAACCACAGAGCAAACGCTCTCCCCGCTGCCATCCCAAGTGAGTGCCTCCGCTTACTTTTTCCGCCTCCGTGGCGTGAAACACAGCAGTTTCTGAGCTGTCCCTGTGGGCCACATCTCCCCAGCATCGAAGCAGCCATGCGGACACAGCCATCATCCTGCAGAAACCCCGTGGTCCAGCCAACCCAGTGCCTCACACATTTTTTGCTGATACGTTTACTGTAAAGCCCGGCACGCAGACGGACGCCGTATTTTCTCAGCAACACGTATTTTTGACATGCAGCAGTTAAGGCTCCTTGTTAATTACCAAATGGAAAATCCCTTTTTACATCACGTTAGAAAAACCCTCTACCCCGGTGTGGAGAATCTCCTCTGGGGGAAAGACGACTCGGCTGGAGCAAGGCTGCAGGAGGAAGATGCAAAGAGGTCTGAAACCATCCGTGCCGAAGGCCAGGCAGAGGGGCTGGAGAGAGGCGAGCGATCGGCACTGGCACAGCGCGGGGTCTGGAGCAGCCCTTGCGTCAGGTATTGGGCTCATGGGACTTTCAGGGTGCTGGCTAGGCTGAAAACCCCAGGGAGATTTTAAAGGCAGGTATTGTAGCAACAGTGAGCCAGAAGAGCCGAGGAGAAGCCCCAGCTCTGCCAAGGTCTCGGTTTCCTGGCTGAGCCCTTCTTTTCGCACCCGGTAGTTACACAGACGCAGTGGCAGAGGGCTCACGGGGCCGCGGGGACACACAGGTCCCCAGGGAAGGCGAGCGGACATCAGGCTGGCACCAAGAGGGTCGGGATTAGTCACAGCTCCCGTCGGCCTGCTCGGGGGCCCCGTCTCACCCGAGCGCTGTTGCACAGCCTCACTGCCACCAAATTTTGCCACATCCTCCAGTAACTGCTGACGGGCCGGGAGGAGAGGACCCGAGAGACCTGGGAGGTCCCAGTGGTCCTTGCTCCCTGACTGGGAGCATCTCGGGAGCACCGTGAGTCTCCCAGGACACCATCGTCCCCAGGACACCGCCTGCGGCTGGCCAGGGCTCTCCGGGCACCCGGAAAACAAGCGTGGCCCCACTGCCAGTCCCTTTCCACTCGCCTTGTACACATCTTACAGCTTGGCTACCATCTCCCAGCCCGCTGGCGCCTCTTGATCCAAGACGCTTGGTATCGCAGAGAGTGAGACAATCCGCCAAGGACTTTCCTCTCAAGTACCCCAGTTCACATCTGGTACTAAATTACTTGCTCAGTGCTATTAACACCCCACCAAAACACACGGCAGAGCGCTTCACTGTTGCAGCTACATATTGTCCGTCGCCGTCTTTGTTCATTCATCATCTTTCATTCTCTCCTCCCTCAGCCTGACTAGTAGGAGCATATTTGGGATGCACCACACATCCAGCTTGGAGTCGCGAGCCATTTATTTTTCATATGAATATTTATACTCAATCCGCCCCACCGCCCGGCACACAGCTCGCAATTTCTAAAGGTCTTAATATCTGACAAAGATCCCCAAACAATCCAAACTGAGTATTTCAGGGAGAGGAAAACGTACGTACCCCAAACACGGCCAAGAGAGATCAGCAGCCAGAGACAGACGCTGCAGCCCATGCCTCGGTTCATGGAGCTTCTGCTGCAGTGGAGTTGATATCTGCTGCCGGGCTCATTATAAGAGCAGGTGTACTCAAATCAGAGACGCTGCCCTGGGCCATGTGTTTCCTGTTTTTGGCTGAATAACTTGTCTTTTTTTTGTTCACTGAGTGGAAAGTATTCAAAGCACTAAGTCCTGCCGCTGAATGCTTCACCAGAGGCAGCCCAAGAGAGCTGCAGAAGGAAGCAGAGCATCGATTTAGAGTTCGTACCGCAACTGCATCGTCCTTCCACGGGTCCTTAACCCGACCCTGAAAGAAGAGGAAACGACCAGCAAGAAAATCATTTCATGTACGGTAACAGCTTCCCGGGGCTGTCCAGAGCCTTCAAACCCTGCGACCGCAGCGGGGGTGGAGGTGGGCAGCCGCTCCCCCCACGCGGCACCATCCCAGCCGCTGCTGCTCGATTCCAGCGCCACAGGGCTGGGTCCCAGCACAAAGCTCACCCAGAGAGGCGACGTGCACTGGTGCTCATAGCCACGATGCCCACCCGGGCAGGAAGGCCCCAAATATTCTGGCATTAACTCACACCCCTGCTTGGGGCTGCATGGGATCTACGGCGAGGAGGAGTACGGGTGGTCTTCAAAAACTCACCAAGGCAAAGCCCAGCCCTCGTTCCCAGGCTGAGCGCTCAGGGAGGGGATCCGGACTTCAGTTTGCTCCTGTTCAACGCCATCCCCATGGGGGACGGGGATGGGTTCCCTGGCCCCTGTGGGTGTCTCCCCTGGGTGGGGATGGAGCGGGGAGTGCGGCCTCCCGCGCTCAGTGGGGAGACGGGGATGGGGAGCATGGGGAAAACACCTCTCACTTGTTCCGTTGTTGGAAAGGGACAAGAAAAGCTTCGTTGTTTTTGTGTTTTTAGTGGAATGAATTATTCACCTCCGTCCGTGCTCGGCCCGCGCATCTTTAAAATAGGAGAAGGGTTTTTTTCCTATTGTTTTCTTCAAGTTTTCGTTGCTTTTTCTGGTTTTCAGAGGAAAGCAGAGGCGACAGCGTGAAGCAGGAATTACCTCCACTGTTTTAAACCAAATTTGAGTGCCACAAAGAAGTAAAGGGTGAACTTACACCCCACCGCTTTTCATGTAAGCCAGGCTCCAAAACCTCCATGAGTTTTGTTGCCAATAAATTATTTCTAACGATAAAAAGCCTAAACCCACGTTAAACCAGACTGGCATCCTGCTGGGCTGCTCCTTCCCTCTCAGAGAGCAGCTGGCTGAGAAAAAAAAAAAACCCAAACCCAAGCCATTTCCCAATAATCAGCAGTTCACAGAAGGGAAGAGCTCAGCAGAGGCATAAGAAATGAAAGGATGAGTAAGAGCAGTACGAAGGGACTCGGCTCCTTTCCTCGCCGCACGCACACAAGGAGCTTCGGCTCGGCTGAAACACGGCGGTGGTTCCTACCGGAGGCAGCCGGCTCCCGGACTGAGCGCTTGGCCAGATGATGGAGGGGTGAAGACATCGCCTTGGGGTATTTTGCAGAGCAGCAAGCTGCTCCGGAATAAATCCCACCTGAAGAGCCAGTCGTCAGGAAGGAGGTGTCCAGTGGATGGGCTCCACCAGGGCGGTACCCCAGGCAGGGCAGCAGGATGGTGCCCAACCCTCCCCTTGCCACGGATAGGTGCCCTACGCTTGGGTGCAGGCTGGGCCGGCTTGGAGAAGACCATTAACCACAAACTGGTCCTAGGAAAGCCATAAAACCCCAATATCACCCATGGGGCACCACCACAGCAGCCTACCCCAGGCTGGGCTGGCACCAGCCAGTAGAAATGGGGAAAATTATTTAACAAGCAAAACCGTCAAGAAAAAAAAATCCTTCCAGGAAGCACCCAGGGGCACAAAAAACATACAGGCAGTCACAGAAAAACCTCCTTTAACCGAAAATAATGATCCTAAATACTTTTACTTTCCGCATCAGCTCAGGCTGAAGTCTGCTGGCTGGAAAGATGACTGAGGCACAGCACCGGGCTCTGTATTTATTCATCGCAGGAGGTTTATGATCACGTTGGTCGTCCTGGATTTTGTCAGAGGCAGAAAAGCCTCAAACCTCCATATGAGAACGGACCAAGACCCAAGCAAATATTTTCAAGGGAGAGGATTGCTGCAAATGCATACATTGGTGCTAAAACCATCAGCCACCCAGCAGG